TCCCACCGGGTGGGGGGGAGTGAGCGAGCGGCTGCGTGGTGCTTAGTTGCTGCCTGAGATTAAACCACAACAAGCTCTAACTCTAAAAACTTCTCAATAGAAGTTTCTAAACTGCTGAATAAACATTCTGCTAGCATTTTCCTGTCTTGCTTAAGGGATTTATGCTAGTACTGGAGGCAATAATTACCTGTGTGTTGAGGATAAGTGTTTTCATTTTCTTTAGTAGCAGGTTAATCTTTGTTCCTTTCTCTGCTAATCAAATACCTCAATGTTCCTTTCTGCTGTTTTATAGGTGTCTTAAGATCTTACGACTCCAGTAGTCTACTAAGCAAGAAAAGGAATTTTTTAAAAACCTGACAGCAAAATGCTTTTCAATACAATTTTAGGAATATGTACCAGAATTAGGTGCTGTTTTTATACTCTTAGTCATTCCATAGCTATTCAAGGTAAAAGAGATGTTCTGAATCATCATGCAAGAGAATTCCCATTAGATGAGCTTCAGGTTTTAATTAGGTTTTATGCATTTCATTGTTTGTTACTGTAGTCATGTCTCACTGATCACCATAGTCCTTAAGGAAACCAGTTGTACTCACAACTCCTATGAATAATTAAAAACCCACGCTTTTCATTCATGGAAACAAGCTTCCACAGTGCCAGGATATCATCGCTACAATAACATGTGCATTAAACATCTGTACTCACACAGTATTTATAGATAATTGTGTAAGAAAATACTAAAACAACATCTTTAAAGTTGAAGAGGTCAAGCACTTGAAATGGAGAGAAAGGAAGAAATCATCTTGCCAACACTGCACTAATTACTTTCTTTCTGATTTGTAGATTGAAATTAAGGCTCTGAGAGTGTAGTGTCCAAGGCATAAACTAGTTTTGAATGACCAGATTCAGACCCGTAAGATTTTGATGTTTCAGTACATTTGAAATGTCATATATCATTTGAGGTGCAGCTGCTGTTGCAGCTGAGGTTGTTTAACATTCTAGCAAATGGTATCAGAGGCCTGTGAGACAAAGAACATACAAGAGTCAGTGTAATGTTTCTGTAGTTCTCTAGTGACATGTCTAGATAGTGAATGAACTCTGAGTTAATCGTAGATATTGAATTCTTCAGTGGTATTAAACATGAGACTGTCCTCCAAGTTGTTGCAATCACATACCATTAGCTTATCAAGAAAGTATGTGCTTTCTAACTCCTCAACAGATGAGGTGAGGATTCTGTAGACAATCTCTTTGGTATGACTGCTGCTTGTTTCAGAACTTCTCCTTCCACTATGCTGCAAAAGCAAAGGTCTGGCACAGAGAAGGGATAAAAACCTGTGATGGAAGATAAAATATTGAATCTTACCCCAATGCAGAACGCTACACTTTTGGTACTCTGGCCTGGAACATGTTTATGTGTTCTGTTTGCACTGGTGCTTGCACAATCAGTAATATCGTTAAGAGCTGTGAAGATCTGATCTGCACTATTGTATTGGGGGATGGTATATAGACCTGGTCATCACAGAGAGCTTCAGGAAGGACTTTGGCAAAATTGGTTGGAGAGTGGTTTAGTTGTTAAGTAGTCACAGAAATATACCTGTTTCCGTTAAGCTTGTATGAACTGTGAATTTCTGCAGAGTTTATATATTGGCCAAATCTGGGTGGGTTTTTGTGAGGGTGATGGAGGACGTGTCCCAGATAGTTTAACTACCCCTATTAAATTTCAAATCGTTGCTCAATAAACTTGAGCTTTCCAAAGAGAGGGTTGCCAACATATTTTGACCTTGAATAATCTATTTTTCTGTAGCTTTGTTTTAAGAAACAGCTGTGCAGCTTTAGTAGAAACCTTACAGTTCTAGGCAGGTGGTACTAGAGGTGGCAGAAATGTACATGACAAAGCTGTATTCAGTGCTTAATTTTAGCAAAGTTGCAAGATCTTGAAAATATGTTGCTGGGAAATACTAGGTAATCTTGATAGATAGTAATTTCAGCTTCCATATAATGCCCCTGGTATTTGTGGAAATTCTTCTCTGGAAAGAATGTGAAGAAACAACATGTTGGAAGTGGGTTTGGTTTTTGGGGTTTTTTTTTTAGATTTTTCTAGTGTTAAAGGTCGTGATGATTGCACAAGGTAATACAGGGTCCGTTTTTCCTGTTTTCCTATCAGTAGCACAAACAAAAGGGTAAAACAGTGTAACCAACCCCACTGCCCCAATCCCTGCCCACAGAAAAATAAATTAAAAAAATGGGTGTTATGAAAATGAGTTGTCATTTGTACCTGTTCCTTAGTTACTACAGAACCTGTCTCCTAACTGTGAGAAGTCTTTCTGGTACCATTCATAATCACTAAAGTGGTAACAAGAAATCCTATGAATGTTTAGAAATCCTAATGGTGGTGATTCTAGCTGTTTTCTTACTTTTTTTATAACCTGTAGCTAAAATGTTTGTTCACAACTCTGGCAAATTTCCTATAAGGAAAGCTGTTTTGTGAGCAAGGAATTATATTTGGTTTAAATGATGCAAGCAACTCCGTGCACCTTGATTTAAGAGATTTTATTTTTCTGGAAGGGATAGATAGACTTTTTGGTAACTTTTTCCTAGTCTTGTTACTAAACAAGATTCAAGTACATGTTTTTAGGCAATGAATTTTCAGCAGGGCTTTGTCTTACACTAGAGATTCTCCTGGGGTACTCATTGTAAGATGTGGAGGGAGGGGTTTTCAGTGTTGGCCTTAGGCATTCTAAGTGAAGGCACTGGGCTTAACCACTGGCTTCACTGTGGATAAATTAGTACTGAGCACCTTCTAAGATCTAATCATTGCTCTTCTAAAATCTAATCATTGCTTTGTGATGACTGATTTGTAATGATTGAAATACCTTCTCGATTTCTCTGAGTGATGTTTTGTTCTATCATATGACTACCAGTCCTAGTTTAGCAAACTGTTATACAGTGTAAGAAAACCTGCTTATGGTTTGTTTTTCAGGTCATAAAAGTTAAGGTTTGGGAAGGTATCCTTACACTTCATCTGGTTAGAGACTATTTCAAAGATGAGCTTAGAGAGCAATTATTAAATTAAAAAGAATAATTGAAAGAATCATATAAAACAGTGTCAGTAAATTAATGGGAACTACTAAGAATGGAAAGGAGAAGGAATTTTTCTGAGCTGTAAAGAATGAGAGTAACAGAAAACCCAAAGAACCTCTGGCTATTAGTGTGGGTTTAGAGGTGGCAAGTTCAACAGTAAATTGAACAAAGATGATGTAATCAAGTATATGTAGTGATATGTTTAGCACAGTATACAGACATCTTCGAAACGTTGGAACTGATTCAATTTTTTTTTTATACTGACTATTCAAATGCATACCACTGTTAGTAAATACACTACGTCTTTTGTAGACGGTGGACATTCACAAAGAGAAAGTTGCTAGAAGAGAAATTGGTATCTTGACTACAAACAAAAACACCTCAAGAACTCACAAAATCATTGCACCAGCTAACTTGGAGCGACCAGTTCGCTACATCAGGAAACCTATTGATTATACAATTCTAGATGATATTGGACATGGAGTGAAGGTAGGTGATATTGTTAAAACAGCCAAACTGCAAATACATTGTCTTTGTATATTTTCAAAATAACCTGATGCTTTTCATGGTAATATACCAGTTTCTCCTTGCCTGGCCAGTGTGTCTATAAACATAAGAGGAGTCCTGTCCAATTTGCAGTTACCCCTTCCTGTTCCCTTGCCCCAGTGTTTCTAAACCTTGCAAACCCACTGAATCTTGTTTCTGAGGATATTTGGGACTACGGGGTCTCACCTTCTAAAATGCTTTTGAATGCCTACTTGTGTGATGCTGCTATTATTGTTTGAATCAGTTGCCAGGGATATACCTGGGGACTGAAAGGCAACTGACTGTCACTTTTCTGCCTGAATTAGCACCACAAAGTATGATCCAGCTGTAATTGCCACTGGTTTACTTTGAAGCTCACCCAAAGAAAGGGTTTGCAAGAGAAGTATTGTGTGCTCCCTTTTCTTTTTTCTGTCAGTCAGTTATACCCATATCCTGTGATGTGCTTTGTTAAAGTGAGCTCTCTACAACTTTTGTGCCATATGGGGTTTCAGAATGGGAATATTGCTGCCAAGTTCGAAGCCAGCTGGTACTCCCTTTTAAGACTATGAAAAAAGGAGGAATTTCAGGGCAAAGATCGGACTGAGACGCAACTGGTGGCTGTTGTATGCAAGTGTTAGGTCAGTGTACACAACAGCAGTAATATCATGTGTGAGATTAGATTCGCATTTTTTAAAAGCATGTCCTGAATGTAAACACAGTCTCAGCAGGTGTGAGCTCATTGTTAACTTGTGCTGCCAGGAAAACAAATATGGAAATGAGAACACTGACAGTGTTAAAGTTCCAGGAGAAGACAGGTAAATAACGCAAAGCAGTGTCATTTTTACATGACAAACTAACAAACCTGTAAACCTGCTAAGTAGCAGTAAGGTAAGATGCTTCTTCCAGTCAAAGTACACCAGAATTTCTTTTGCTTGACACCTAACTGCATTAGGTTATCTATGTTGTTCAATTTGAACTGTCTGTTTGGATAGTCATTTAAATGGCAATAGGTTTTTTAACCAAACTCTTAAAATTCAAATTCCAAACAGTGCTATTTAAATATCTTTCCCAAGCAATTTTACTCAAGGTCTTCTCAACATCCTGTTCGTTAACAGGAAATCTTTTTTCCCCATTTCTTACTGAAAGTGTCAACCTCAGTTTGTAACCCTAAACAGATTTTAAAAAGACAAGGGACTCTTTAAGCTTGATTTGGAAAACCAAACCAAACCAAAAAACCCCAGCATTAATAGCTACAGTTTTGTCCAGGAAATTATTATCAGTCTTGTGTTAAAATCTACTGCCAATTCTTCTAAATTTTAATTTTATGCAGGTCAGCAGAACTCCTTCTGGATATGGATGGAGCATATTAACCTGTAGGATTACTGTTGCTAATATTTTAATGATCACTTTTGTTTTAATGAGATTATTTTAGAACTCATTAAAGAATAGTTTTTAATTGCTCTGCAGCACAATCTTATTTAGCATTGGCTCTAAACTGTTATAATTGGTATCCCACATAGCTCAATGTAGCAGAATTATACTCACTCACGCAATGAATTACGTTCTTCTGAAAGAACATAGTTCATCAAATGGATGATGACTCAAATGTGTATTTGCATCCATTTGTTATGCTTGTGATATGCTTGAAACATTTTACAAATGATATTTACAATGTACTATATTTATCTAGAAAATGAAAAAGTATTGTGTACTTGTGAACCAGTAAGCAGAGAACTTGACATCATGCTATCCTTAAGATCCATAGATCTATTCCAATCAGGTTAATCCTGTGTTTAGCACAGAAGAAAGAACCACTCTCTCGCTGATGGTGAGAAAGTGGCCAGTTGTGCTTATGAACCTGTTTTTTTTTGTTCTGCTTGAGTAACTACAGATTAGCTTACTAGATCTCTGGCTGGAGAACAAAGAGGGAAAAAAGAAAAAGGGTAGGAGCTTTAAATTTGCCTATTTATAGCTCATTATTGCTCGAGCTGTGGCATTTTTCCCTTCAAATGAGTATTCAAGACTTATTGGATAAACAGCATTAAAGTTCCAGTTAGCATCAGGGTGCCTCCGTCTGCATTCTTTGTCCTCTTTCTGCTTTTTCTGCTATAGGGCTTCCCCTCTAGTACTTGGACCAGAATTATGCATTGTCAGGACAATCAAAGAGCTAATGCAGCAAGCATTCATTGCAAGCCCTGAGAAAGATGGCAAACTGGACAGAGAATAATACAGGAGGAAAAGGGAGCATCCTTGGACAAGAAATCCAGTATGCCATGTTGAGAGTAGTATAGGCACTTGAGCACCTATTCCTTCCATTCAGAAATTCAAAGCATCAGTGGATACCATCTTCAGGAAAAGGTGCTCTACAATATGGTTTCTTAATGGGTGAGAGAGAATTTAAGTGCCACTATATCATTCCAGCAGTCCCTCCTCATCTTCACTCCCTGAGGCTACAATGCTGCAAAAACCTAAAGAACCTTCTGTCTGAAAGAGACTTGCTTTCAATTTTTTCAAATGTTTCCTGAGTTACAAAGTCTTCCAATCTGTTTTTCCCTCCAAAGAGTTCTTTAGTCAAGAGGATGAAAAAAAAAAGTTTGATCCATTCAAAGTGGTGTGTGTTAAGGCACTGTAATTATCAGGCAATGCTGCTGAGGAAAAGGTCTCAGCTCATGGACCCTCTAATGTAACTGGCCACTCTGTCTGGCCAGTACAGGGGGACCTGGTTTTCCAGTGTAGCTGTGTGAAGCCGAAACCATTTTGGTTAATAGATCCGTGGAACTTTAAACTCAAAGACAGGAGATTTTCTAGTAAATCAGATTATGTTTCTTACATACATTAGGTTCTATTTATGATCTAAATGGATGAAACGGAGTAGTCACTCTGGATGCTCCACTGTTGAGATTCTGCATATTTAATGTTCGGTGTTACAAAAAGTGTAAGAAATGTAATGATACATTTAGATTAGCTGAACTGAAAACAGATCAAACGATATTCAAATGGAAGGACTAGTATTTTTGAAAAAATTATTGTGGGGAAAGAAGATATATGGTATTGTGCCAGTAAAAGGTAGGACTTAATGTAAAAAAGCTAGCACTTAGGCTTTAAAATAAGATTTCGCTATTGGTTAATGTCTTAATATATAGTTTAGAAAATACTGATATGTGGTGCAGTATCCATATAGAGTGCTGCACTTCTAAGAAGACGTAATGATTTGCTCTTGATATTTGTTCAAGACATATCTCATGGCATCAGTTAACTAACAGCGTTGTCTAGGAAAGAACACATATTAGCTTAATATTCTAGAGGCTTCTGTTTCAGCTAGTTGCAAATATGCCTAATGCATGTAACAATTTAAATGAGCTCAGGGTATTGATAAGGCTATTCTTTGACAGCTCAAATTAATGTCTGAAGTTAATCCATCTAGATCTCATGATACATTCTGAAAGAAGCTGACTTTTTGTTAGCATTGTAAGAACTGAGTAAACAGTGTACAAGCATTTGAGCACTAATTTTAAGGTGTTAATCTAAAGGCTTTGTTGTCAATGTATATTAAAAGTTTCAGCTTGAAAATCTTTTGTTCATGACACATTCTGCTTTAACCACTCTTTCTATGATCTATTGATACATTATTTTGTTAATGCTGAATGCTTAACTTTTTTCTTTCTTTTTCCTTTCTCTTCATATCCTGAAGTTCCAACTAACCTTTCAATGCTTTTTTTCCTTACCTCTTTTATTTGCTCCATTTATGCATTAAGTGGTTGCTTAGATTTAAGGTAAGAAACCCCAGGGCTGGATTTCCATTCTTATTCTTCTGAGACTATTACACACGGGGAGATGATTAACATGAATGTTAATGATTGTTTAAAATAACACCCGCCCTCCCTCCTGTGTATCAGACCTTCTGTTGAATCGTTTCATTGCAGATAAACATTTTCTGATATAAATTGATGTATTTATGTAAGGAAGCTAACACAGTTCATTTTAAAAGCTTTGTGGCAAAACACTGACTGCCTTCAGCATATCTACCAGATCATTTACAAGGGAGGAATGTTGTGTTAACCTTGTGTAGACAAAAAGATACCGTGGATAGATAGCAGCTGAAATATGAGCCTCCCCCTGTGTAATATTCTTTTTATCCTATATACGGTGTAAGTTATGATTTGATTGGGATTAATGTTTCAGTGTGAGATTGCTCAGATAATGGGCTCCAAAGGTGTGTAACAAATTCAAATCTGTATTTTTTTTTTTTTTAAAGTTGCAGTATCCTTAATTTTTTCAGAAACTGCTAGCACTATTTAAATACTGAGAGGCACTCATATATGGAAATCTTCACAAATTTGATAGTTGTGTAAAATATTTAGCTGAAAATTAAATGAATAGTGCATCAAAGAACTCAGACTGAAGTATGTCAAATTCAAGGATCTTTTAAAGAGGTTTAAATATTAGTAGTCCTAGTGGCTGCAGAAGTAGCAATAAAAAAGCATCAAATAAATTAGACAAGCAATTAAATGAAAAACAAAAAGGGAAGTGATTTATTTAGCTGAAAATTAAATGAATAGTGCATCAAAGAACTCAGACTGAAGTATGTCAAATTCTCAAGGATCTTAAAGAGGTTTAAATATTAGTAGTCCTAGTGGCTGCAGAAGTAGCAATAAAAAAGCATCAAATAAATTAGACAAGCAATTAAATGAAGTTACATGATACTATGTTGGAATTCATAGCACATTAATTGATAGATAGGTTATAGCCTTTATTGAGTGTTGTGATATCATCATACTCCTGAAGTGCAACTGGTTTGGGGAAAGAGGGAACGAAAGTTTTTTAGTAGCAGCCGCCACAGTTTTAAAGAGGGAACTGTATTTTAAAACATAGAATACTAATATGTAGTATGAGTATATTAATTAAATGAAGTTCCAAGTTGATGTGAAATATTTTTCATGACTAAGTATTTTCATGACTGGAAA